AGGGAAATAATGTATTAATATCAGTCACTGTTTCTGTATGCCCTACCACTCCTGGCAAAAATAAAAAATCAAAATAAACTTCCTCAAAGTAACAAAAAAAGCCTTATTTCCTCCTTTTACTCTGCTGAGCAGTACAAAACCTGGCTGCTCCTACCTCTCTTCGGCAGGTAGTCTTTTTGTGATTTTGCCTTAGGGTCCTCAACTAAATGTCAAACAGCTCTCCTGGGGGTGTCTGGAAACAGGGCTATTTCTGGCTGTTGTCATGACTACGGGGAGTGCTAATGGCATTTCTGCGAAGGGGGTTAAGGGTTGTACTCCATGTCCCGCAATGCTTGGGACAGTCCTACAAAACAAGTAATTGTCCTGCCCAAAATGCCCTTGTGTCCCTAGGCAAAAAAATGAAGGCTCGTTGGTCATCTGATTTTCAACTGGGGACTACGGGTTGTCCTCAGTTTCAGATGGCCACACTAGGACTTTCAGGCTGAAGGCCCTTGTAGGCCACACTCGAGACAGCCAAGCGGAGAGTGTAAAGGCCCATGTTCCACAGTCTACAAACCATGACTTGTCCATCTCCCTTAATATCATTATGTTTATAGCTCACTACCAACCCACAATGGGACCATATCCCCTCCTTGTCACAGCAACCATGATTAACAAGTTGTTGTTATTATTATTATTATCATTATTATTTTGAGGCAGGATCTTACTCTTGTCGCCCAGGCTGGAGTGCAATGGCGCAATCTCTGCTCACGGCAACCTCTGCCTTCTGGGTTTAAGGGATTCGCCCACCTTGGCCACCTGAGTAGCTGGGATTACAGGCGTGCAGCACCGTGCCGAGTTAATTTTTGTATTTTTTGTAGAGATGGGGTTTCATCATGTTGCCCAGGCTGGTCCTGAACTTCTGAGCTCAGGTGATCTGCCCATCTGGGCCTCCCAAAGTGTTGGGATTACACGCATGAGCCGCTGCGCTTGGCCAAGTCTTATTTTTAATCTCCCAGAGTGAAAGCTGGGAGGCTGCCCAGGGGAGTCATGGTATGCTGCTGGAGCCCTCCAGAATGCCCTCTATTTGGGTGCCAAAGACTAGTTTGGCCCTCTCTCAGGAATACTACCTGCCCTTGGCTGATGCTGGAGGACAATGTCTCCCTGAGGTCCTCTCAGACAATAGCGGTGTTAATCCCATAGCCTCTGGCTCCTGTTGCCTCTCTCCATGGCTACCCCCCAAGTAATAGCCTTACTCCCTGCCTGGACCACCTCTCACTGCAGTGAACCACAAAAAAGCCTGTTTCAATTACTCTCACTCCAGGTGGTTTTCTCCTTCCCTCAACCTGCTACCCACTCTGCTCCTACAGCAAAGAGGCCCCTCAGCATCTCAGCCTCTGGCCCCCTAACCAGCAGTATCTGGGAGGAAGGAATCCTACACTCACCCTCCTTGGCTCCAAGGAGTCACTCATGGCCCCTTATCGCCCACTTTGAAATGACCCACCAGTACCACCATCTTTTTGCTTTTCCAGGTCAAAAGCAGAAATCATCCTGTTCTTCTTCCCGCACTCCCCACATCTTACCTGCAAATTCTATCCCCAATCTCATTATTCCTCACCATCTCCATGGCTCCCACCCTAGACTTCAGCACCAACACCAAGACTTCTGGCCTGATCTCTTAGCTCTTCCCCTGCCCACTGGCTATTCTGTACACAACAGCCAGGGTAACCATTTTAAAATGTAAATCAAATGCCACCTGCTGCTCTTCAACAGTTTCCAAAACATTTAAAATCAAAATTCTTGATTGTGGTCTATAAGGATGGCCTTATGAGCTGCATCCACCCAATTCTCACTGTGCATCCGTAATTTCCATTCTCACTACACTGAGCTCACTGCTGCGACACCCTGGTTTTTGCTCTCCTACCCCCATCTCCCTCCTCAGGTCTTCACTTGGATCTTTATCCTTATTTTCACTATCAGCTTGTTTAAGTCCATGCAGGCTGCTATAACAAGGTATCTTAGGACTGCGTGGCTTATAAACAGCAGAAATTTCTCACAGTCTGGAGGCTTAGCAAGTCTAAGGTCACAGCAGATTCAGTGTCTGGGGAAGGCCCACGTTTTGGCTCACAGATGGTGTCCTCTCACTTAGTGGAGGGAATAAGGCAGCTCTCTAGGGCACTGATTTCATTCATGAGGGCTCCACCTTTATGACCCAATCATGCCCAAAGGCCCCATCTTCTAATACCATCACATTGGCGATTAGGTTTCAACATACAGATTTTGGAGGCAGACTACTGCACAGCTTAAAATCCACCTCCCTAGGAGTCTTTTCTGACACCCCTCACCCAATGGAATCTTATTGCTGTTTCACTTTCATGTCAGTTGGTTTTCCGCCCTGACTAAAATATAAACTTGAAGAAAATAAGGCCTTGCTTACTCAAAGATGCATCCCCAGTGTCTGGCAGGTATTCAATAAATATTTTTGAATAGGATTCCACCAGTAGATGGCTAGATTTGAAAGATTCGCCAACTATTATACTGTCAATCCAAAACTCAGTGGAATCTTTCACTTGCATGAGTTAACTGCACCTCTTAAATTGAGAATGAATTTAAGATCCATTCCCTGTTCATATCTCTATTTTAAAGAGAGGTACTTGGGCTGACATTAAAGGAGTACCTAGAACTGGACTGAATGTGTTACACGTTACTGTATTTAAATCCAGCCACCTCTCAAAGGACCTGCCAGCGACACCAATGGGGCTCAGACACACATGTGCCTCCTACACCTCTACCTGGGTGGTGTCCAGCGGGCACTGGAGACAGCCTGCTTTCTGCTCGCACTCTGCCTCCCTCTTCAAGATGGACATTCTATCAAGTGCTCATTTTAATTGTGCCTTAAGTCACAAGAAAACAGGGCAAAAAGACCACACTTCAGATTTCAGAAATGCCTCACATCTAGTTGGTGGAATGCCAGGCTCTAGGCCCAATTGTGTCCTTATCTAGGTCCAGCTGTGTAATTCTGGACACCTTAGCTGACCTTTCTGGGTCTCAACTTTACACCTGCAAAAGGGATTTGTGTGGTGATACGGATGCTCTTGAAGGAACATTTTCCAGTCCCATTATTCTATAATTTGGGAATAGGATGTGGTTTTTTTTAACCTATTTTGCTCTGGACACTGGCACCTCACATTTTCTATACAGAATGTTGCCTTAGAAGTCTGGGGAATATGGTGCTGGCATCATGGAATCTCAACAGCAAAGCTGTCATCTGTTCTAAACTGAAAGAGAAATCAGCAGGCAGTCCTAGCACCATATGTATCTCTTAATTTTATATCCAGAAGCTTGCCAAGATCAAAAATACACATTATTCAATATTTACATTAGGTCTCTGAGAATCACACTGCCCATTCTGCACTTAAATGCACTGCATTAATTTGAAGGGAAACCGTGTGGCAGGGAGAATGCTAATCAGATTGAAGTAAGACTGTTTCAAACACCATCTATTTTTAATGGCATTCGAAGTGTATTCCTGCAAGGGTAAGGTGAAATGTTGTGGCCTAATGATACCTAACACAATAATTTAATAATTGTTGGGGAAAAGGTCATTCAAAATTAATCTCAGTTCCCCCACTTATAAGCACTACCACTTAATAAGCTTCAACCATGTGCAACATAGACAATTTAATTCTAGCTCTCCCAGCAAATTCAGCAGTAAAATTCTCAGTTTATAGATGAGCACCCAAGAGTAGTCACATACTTCACACGAGTTTCATGAAAACCATTTCTGCCTTTTTTCCGCCAAACCATGAAGGCAGGGGCGAGGCCTTCTATAAATAGTTGCTGGATGCAAGATTCTTCTCAAAATGACAAAATAAGTTTCATATGTAAGTCTGGATGCAACACCCTTCACCATTCCTCCCATTCTAAGTGGCTCATTTAAACCTGCAAGGGCTTAACAAACTAATCTGGCTGATTACACACTGACCGCAGAGATTCGCCTTCTCCCGGGAAAACTGCAGTCGAGTGTAGGGTATCGAGATGCTCTGGAGAAGATCGCAGACCTTCCTATTCCATAGGTCAAAAATTTCTAAAAATCAAACAAGTTAACTGCGTTCTTAGCCAGTAATAAACTCCCTAGAAGAGGCCTTAAGTTTTAGCATCAATTTTTCTTTATGTGCTGTAATTCTCTCTCGGAATACTAACCAGGAGAGAAGTATTTAAAACCCCAGGGAAGCCAGCTGCTACTCTCAGAACTTGTGCCCTCTCCAGCACAAAGCTTCCCACCGCACAATGATTCCTTGTATCGAGACCTCTCAGGGCCTAGGGCACAAGGAAATTGAACTCTAACTTGCAAGGCTGCAAAACAAAGCAGCTTGAAGCCAGACGCCTCCAAACGGTGCAGCCCTAAAAAGGGACGCCTGTACTTTTCGAAGAAAGTCTCAGAACCCCTACAGCATTGAGCTGCTGGGGGAAACTTCAGCACGGAGGCCTACGTTCGGAGGAAGAAGCCGGAAGCATGCAAAAGAGCAAGTAAGCAGTTCTCCCACGTGGGCCACAGGCAGCAAGCATAGTCAGAGAGCGGAAGCTGGAGTCCCGCAAGGCACTAGGAGATGGTCACAGAAGCTGCAGGCGCCCGGACACCTGCTGGCTCTAGCCGGGTGTCTTTCTCGGGAGAACAGTGGTGCTCAGGAATGGTGGCGGCCTGGGCGCAGCCTCTCCCATCCACGACACCTCTCTCTAAAGGGGTGCCTACGCCCTACGGGCAGCGGGTGCAGATGAGCCAAAAGGTTGTGTGTGTGTGTGTGTGTGTGTGTGTGTGTCTGTATCGGGGACGGGATCATTCGCAAGCGTACCCTCTCCTCGAGCGGCAAGTGAGTCCCGAGTGCCCAGCCCCAGTCCCTCCCCGCCGCGGCAGGGGCGCGCGGGCCGGGCGTATGGCCCCGGGAGGCGCGGTACGCCGGGGCGGGGGCGAGAAGGCACCTGGCAGGGCGAACCGCTGCGGCTGGGAGGGCTCATCTCACCTTCACGGCGGTGGTGGTGGTGCCAGAGGCCATATCTGCACGGGAAAGGAAGCTGCAGTGGGCGAGCGCTCGGGACTAAGAGAACCAAAGGGACCGAAGAGCAGCAACCGTGCCAACCTCACAGAGCGGGACTGAGCAGTGCGGAGACCCGGGGCGGGCCTTGACTCCTCCTCTTCCTCCCCGGGACAGCTGGATTGGCTGCCTGTGTGGGATCTCCCCCGCCACCCCTTCCCCAAATCGAAGTTCCCGCGTTCCGCCCCTTTTGCAGACCTTTCCGGTTCTCCGGGTTTTTGTCGGTTTTTTTTTTTTTTTAATCCCCAGTTGTAACTAACGGATAATGATAATAATGGAGACAATTTATCGAGCGCTGTATTGTTCCAGACTGCGTGTTTTGGACTTTAATTGGCTTACTTAACATTCACAAAAACCCTGTAAGGAACAGCAGCACTCCCTGCTTGGCCCGATATTCGTGGCGTCAGAGGCCTCAGCAGCAAAATCTGGCCCGGCGGCGTTCCACAAGTTCTCGCGCAAGGGAAAATCCTCACCAAGGACGGAACTGGCCGGCCAGAGATTCTCTCAGGCAGTTAACGCGGGGCGGCTGCCGTGGCGGGGGCGTGGTTTGCACTTCCTACGGCTGCGAACCCACCGGGGGTTTGCGTGTTTCCCTTGATTCCTGGAGGACACAGCTGGGATGGACTTGACCCAAGACTCAGGGATGACGAAAGGGAAATAAACAGAGTAACGTACTACTGGATAATCTTTCTGATTTACGAACTATGATTTACTTATCTTCAATGTGAGGAGCGGCTTTAAGGCGTTCGAGACTGTGCGCAACTCCCAGTCTGCTCTACCCGACTGGGGGCATCTTTAACCCTTTCTACGCCGGAGCGGTATCCAGTACACCTGGATTCAGAATCCAGACTAAGGTCTCCATCATTCAACACTAGCAGGACACACACACACACACACACACACCCCACCACCACCAGCCCTTTACAGGGATAATCCCTCATGCTCAAAGCCCCCATCCCTTCCCTACTGGGATAATCCAATTTAACCTTCCTTGATGGATTAAGCGTTCTGCAACAAAACAATGGTTGACAAGGATCTTAAGGGTGGACTCTGAGATGTAGAAATGCTGCAAATTAGCCTGGAGGTGGGAGGCAGGCCGAGAAAGGGGATGCTTTCCTCTTACAGCAGCAAAACACGGAAACGAAACACAAGTACAATTTAATTCAAAATACCACTGTGTGATGTTAGCCTCATAGAACCTGTTTACTTAAACAGTATAGACTTTCGTCCTCTTATTACTATATGCTTTAGGTCTAAATTTTCTCACAATGTAAAGTTTTCTTTATTCTGTTACAATCATCTATTTCTTTTAAGTTATAAAATGCAATGGTAAAAGAGGAATGAAAGTAGAATTCGGATGCTCCTTTGAGAAACAGGAGACAGGGAGTCCTTCGTGGATGAAGACAATGTAGCTTTCTAGGGGCCTTTCTGCTGATTGCTCTTTTGAGGGGCAGGAAGCCCACCACTCAGAAGTGAACCATTGAGGACACAAGGATGCCCCGGGCTTTATGGCTGCTACCTAAGTAGGGGATTCTAGCCAACTTAAGTGACTTGATATGATTAGCAAGTCCAGTTTCTACTCAGCACTGCCTCCCTGCTAAAAGTTAGACGCTGTAACCAAGTTAGAGCTTGTAAGCTTAAAATACCCCTAGGCATAGGAGTTGGAAACTTGGAGAGGACCAGGCTGGACTTCTGGACTTTTCTACTATAACTTGCAGGTAAGGGCTCAAGCATTTGCTCTTGAAGATGTGATGTCTGTGAAGAGGAAATTCTTCTAAAGTTTGAATTTCATATACACTTACATGTGACAAAATATTATTCTACTTTTGATATTTTTCCAACCACTTAAGATTGTAAAAAAGCATTCTCAGTTCAAAGTTGTACAAAAACAGGTGGAGAGCTGGGTTTGGCTGAGGTCTTGGGCCATTGTTTTCTACTCAGGGTAGTGCCTGAATCACATGACCCCTTGCTACCCAGACTTGGATAACCCTTGGACAGGCTTGTGAGACAGTGCTTTCTTTAGTGCAGTATCTTTGAAAAGGTAGGCGGTAATATTTTTGCCTTATTTCCAAGTTTTGGGTCATGTTTTTTCTTAACAAGTCCTAAAAAGGAAGACAAAATTTTCATTAATTTTCAATACGCAAACATTTTCAGTGGTCTCCCTTTTTGATTACTATGTCAACAAGACAAAGAGAGTCGGTCTGTCTAGGAGCATAGATTTTGCCCTGCCCTTCTGTTCTTATCCTATAAATCCCCCTCTGTTAACCTGTACCCTTGCTTTTCTGAAGATAATTATAAAGAACTAGGTCATCTTACAATAATTCTGATTATGAAACAGTATGAAGGTTTCAACAGCTTCTCCCCTTTTTGATAATCTCTCATAAATGTCTTCCCAGCTTCTAGGTCCTAGCCAACAAAGTACTGAAATGGTTATCACCAGTAGCTGACTATACTGGGTCTTGAGCAATGGTTCTTCAGTGTCCTACAGTTCCCTTTTACTAAACATGTTATTTTTGAAGTCTTCTCCAAACCATTCCAGAATCATCAAATATTCAAGAGGAAGTATTCATACAAATGCATGAAATGTATCACCTCAACCAACTGCATCAGCTTTCCCACTGAATTGTTATATTTCTGTGCCTGGCCATTGTGTCTGTCCTGGATGGGTACTATAAAATGGGCCCAAGCTGGCTGGTAACCCATCCTCATCTGGAGGTATTAAAGCTGGCAAGTTTCCATGGCCTAAGAAACTCAGATAACTCTCCACTACCTTATAGATATTTGGGCCAAAATAAAAATTCTAAATAACATGGAAGTGTACTTAGAGATCCCCAATTATGTGTTAATCAGATCTTCTTACAATACACCTGTATCACAGCCACAATGAGTAGGGACATTTTGGCCACTACTTTTGACAATGGATTAGAGTCCCATCCTGGCAGCTTAGTGAAAAAACTAAAATTCTATTAGCAAGCAGCCACTCTAGATTTAGCAGAACATTGTTGAAAAAATATCTGGGGGAACAATAAGTAAACTAATTGTAATAATGATGGTAAGACATTTTAAAAATTATTGCATCTTCAGATTCTCAGCCGGGCAAGCCTATGTCAGCGTGAGAAGCCAAAGATGTCTGAACTGGTATAAATTCAGGTTCAAAATTCACAACATCACCATTGTGCACAGTGTGGTCATTGGGAAGAAAAAAACCCCAAAGAGACTCAATGCCCTTAATAAAATTGTGTCCAGAGAAACTTCTCCACAGGCAATTATCAGAATAATCAACTTCTCTTTACCCCACCCAAGAAGGAAAAAAAAATGTACTGAAAAGAAAATAGTGGCTAGTGTTTATTAAGATAAGAAGCAAAAGATGTGCAAGTATGTACCAGGCCAGTCCTAAGGTAACATTCTGAAAAAAATTGAATATAATTGCAGAATATAATTTTGTCTGCAATCCAAGTTCTCTTAACACTCTTGATTGTAAATAACTGAACAAATTCTTGATCTAAAAAATACAGCTATGTGTCTTTACTCTGACTCTACAGTATAGACCATGATGCCACATAAACATTAACATTTTAGTAACTAGAGACTTAGATGTTTTTGTCATAGAAAGCCTAACTAATTGAACCTTTCTAAATTTCTTATGGGTTAGTACGTGACTATTACTCTAAAATTTTAAGGAAATAAGAACAAAAAACAAAGAAAAGTGTTCCATTCTCCCATTATCATAATGATAAACAAAATAAGTAGTATGTCACAGGTGAAAATATTACTGAAATCTGATTTTAAAAATGCATTTATTGCAGGTACTTTATAGAGGGAATTACAAGTGATATAGTAGCTTTCTCAAAAAATATTTACGTCACATTTTAGGTGGCAAGTCCTTATAATGACCTTTAATGAAAGTGGAAATTATAAAGTGTAACCTGGCATCTGTGTTTTTGGTTGAGGAAAGAACCCCATGCTTTAAAATGAGATAAGCAGGGTCAGTTTTGACAGTCTGCTTTAAAGTTGGTTTGCTCCAGATAGTTGGAATTTCCCATATGTTTCTTGTTGCAATAGAATCAAGTTCTCCTTCAGTTTTCTTTATTCATTCCTTCTATTTGAAGTCCCTTTTACCCTAGAAATAGCCTTCATTGCAAGTCACCTTGTCTTGTTTTCAAAGTTCACTTCAAATTGTATCTCCCCTATCATTTCTGAAACTCTACTGAAGATGACTTGAGTTGCATATAATTTGGATTTTTTGAAGTAAAATCTCACCAGTTTTTCACTTTTCTTAGATTAATTCTGCACATTAAAAGCATATTCAGATCAACAGAATGGCCATCTACCCTGGAATCCCAGGATCTTCACATCCTATAAGGTAGGTATTATTATTTCTATTAAGGATAAGCAAAGTGCAAGATTAAGCCCTGAATCCTGTACCTCCCTCAGTGAAAGAGAGAGTATGTTCAATCTTGCTCTAAAGAGATATGATTCTCAGCTTCTGTGCTTTTTATAGAAAAGGGCCAAAAAGTAATAGATACCCAGATGTATTTTAATATCACAGATGCAACATAATCTCTCCTTAGTATGTCAGGATCTAAGCTATGATGAGAGACCCATATAATGAGCTCTTATGTGACCCACTGCTCTTTATTCCACTTTAAAAACTTAAGGCACACCTGTATACAGTGAAAAACATTAAAATGTAGGAAATAAATCTAAGAGCGTTGCTTTTCTTCTCTGCAAATCCATATGCCGTCTGTACATACAATCCTAAAAACAAATCGGGAACAAAGTCATGTTTGTCTTCCCAGCATCTTCAATAGCAACAACAAAACAGCTAATACTTATTAAGAGCCACATATTCTTCATTTAATCCTCACAGCTATTAATGTGGTTGCTATTATAATTTCCATTTTACAGAGAAGGGGAGAGAGATAAGTTGAATTGCTATAACTTCATCTTTTCTGCTTATTTGCCTCTCCCCAAAGCTTCCTTGTCTGTTTGGAATCTTCAGGACTTCCCTCTCTCTAGCCCATCAAAATGTCAATCCAACCTGTCAAACCTGTTAAGTTGCCAAAATCAGCTTAAAATGTTACCTCACCCAGGGGTTTATGAATTTTACACTATTAAGCCTTAAACTGAGATAATAAAATTCTAGGTCAGATGTGATGTTTGAGAA